TCTTGATCAAATAGGATAAATGCAAATGTGTAAGCAATGACAGATAATATTACGTTAGTTATTCTAATATTGTCTTTAATGACCAAAAACATCATCATTATGTAGATTTTTAGATTTTAAACGAGGAGTAAACATTTAAAATGGAAAATGGCTTCCTAAGCTAGGTATTTTTTTAAACAACATCATTTTATACAGTGTGTCATCAGTTTTTAACAATAAAGAATATACATTACATTAGTCATTACTAAGCTAGAGCAGATAAAACTTCCAACTACATTGGAGACGCAGCGGCCCGATTTACAGATACCTACAAAATTATCAAAAATTGAATATTTGATGGAGGCAATGGCATACAAAAAAAATAGAGGTATCCAATTATTTAATGTTATTACAAATTGTTTAGTAATCCACAATACTACTTGACGTAATATAACCAAATCGACACCCGACCAACAGCCCTTTTTCTCCTTGTCTTGATCCACGCGCTCGACCCCGCTCATGGCTTCGGTCTACTATGCACTATTTAGCCGGCCCACCAAGAATTTTCCTAGTCTCCCGATATGCCAGTCCACCCCTGCTGATTCCTAGTAGTGGTAATCTAACAGTAAATGTGGGAAAACAAATTTGGGAGGAATTTATTTAATTCGTGGGAAGGGGTCTCCAAAATATATTTTGTCTTATTGTTTAAAATGTCTAAATCTGGCTCTGGACGGCACCCAGTGGCGGAATGCGCCAAGGGTAGAACCAAAAACGGTTTCGGTGTATTATAGCATTGTCGGTGGCTCAGAACAATGACAATGCAGTGGCGTCGTCGATAGTGACACAATAAAATATGATAGCATCTCGGTGGCGTGCCAAAAAAAAGACAGCCGCTCGCGCGCGCGCACGATGCGGCTGCAATAGCGACGATTGTCACCGATAAGAAACCCAATAACAATAGCATAACATTATAACAATAATGCCGTGGCTGTCGTACAACAGAAATCGAGTTGGCGACGGTTACTGTTGGTGGATGAGAGGTGAGGATTATACGCGGCTGTTAATCAATTACAAGATTGAACATAAGCGGGTAGTATAGCTGTCTATATAATATTGGCGTTATGATGTACACGACGAGACGGGTCTACTACCGCCTTGGCAGCGGATCAGCGTGGTGTCACACGGATATTGTTGGTGGCGCCAAGGCCCGATGACGACGGAACGCGTTTTAAAAAGTAAAAGTCGATCTGTTACTTTGGACATGTAACGCCAACCGCCGTTTAGCGCGTACCAACGACGCCTCGCCCGCATAGGAGGGATGCTCGCGAAAACTCAACAACGCGAGTGGGGTACCAATGGTGACGTTCGGTTGAGTTCGGTTAAGCGACAGTCCGACAAGCAAGCCGACGTTTCCGCGAGCACACGAACTCGTTTAGGTACATCCGTGCTTTAGTAATCGCCTCGCCGACCTGCTACTTATTTCAAAACGGCCTCGTGGCAGACGCCGCTTAACGATAATATAGGTCTTCCGCCCCTACCCTGACCTCTAGCGGCCAAGAAAAACAGATTATTATGATCCGTTCGGATCCGACTCGGCATCAGCATGAGGTCCCCAGCGTTAAGCACATAATACAGAATATTCAAAGGGGACCGCACGATTGGTTACGTGAATTATAATGATATACTTTGAGGTTATTAAACTTGCATGCGAACATAACGTCGGTTCGAAACCAGTTTCAAGTTACTCAGGAAATCATATTTATTTTGCTTGAACATAGCAACGCATTTGCGACTCTTCTCGGGATTTATGATATGATTAAGGTGCCACGTCCGTATTAAAAACGACTACGAGAACAAGGTAACATACTTTTTTATAACACTTAAGTACTCCATTCGATGCCTATATATAATAATTTATTCTTTGTATTGATGGCGTTGTAGATGCGTTACATTTTTCACGGCAGATTACAAATGATAACGAATGCGTTTAAAAGTCCGGAGGCTAAAAAAATAGATTGCTATAGGGTATATAGTAGTTTTTAAAATGAAACAACAAAACTATTTATTATATGTCTCATTTGTTATCCTACCCTATGTTAGCACGTACCACGTAGATTTTTTTTAATTCAGAAAATTAGCATGTCAAAAATCATTTATTACACAAACGAAATGACAATCTTTATTACGTTTATACTTATTCCATCGAATGGATTACTAGATGTGATATGAGTATATGACTAAAATGATAGGGATCGATTATGCCTAATGTCCCGCAATCAAATATTAACCGTGCATGGCTTATTATAGCCTAGGGCTTGAATATTAGACAGGTATTTATGTGAATAAAATGACTACAATAAATGTTAGTGTAATTCAGTGTTTATACAACTACATTGTTGCAATATGATAGTACTCCGATTATGATCTATTAAATAATTTACATCAATTATTCAAATGATTACTTTAATTATTTTAAACCATATATGGCCGAGTTATGGTATATATTACGCAGTAATAATTTAATTATCGGTTTAAACTTTAACCTAGAAACACATTACATTTTTTTCAGTCATAATTAGTTAATTTATTATTTATTTATCTAATTTAAAAGTCTGATAAAATATCTGTTGTAACTTATAAAACACTAATCATAACGATTAAACTTCAAAGACAAGAGATAATAATTAAGGCTGATGATTTGTAAAAAAAAAACAACGTCGCCGGTTCCCAGAGACTGCGTTTTTTTCTTGATCACTTATCACAAAGATTTATAAGTATAATATAAAAATTAATTTTAAACCAAGTGTAATCGGCCAAACATCAAATAAATGACATATTAAAACATAAAATATATGATGATCGTACAACTAAACTGTTGTCAAATTGCCAGCCTTAAAAATATTTTAAACATTGAAGTTTAAACTTCTAAGCTAACACGCATGCATACTACTTCCTCAAATATATCAACTTAAACTGATAATATCAATGCCTAACACACGTCATGTACATTCTGCCTTTTTAATTTTTTGTAATTTTTATAAATTTTATAGTTTTAAATAAATTTAAACTCTCAATATATTCAGAAATTATGTTCAAATGCCATTAACATATGCTAATTAGCTGGTATTAAGGTTGCCAATAATATATTCTGATTTTTTTCCTACTAGAATGAGACGTTTGTGTTTAAAAAAAAAATCAGGTTGTCGTTGGTAGATAGTTTCAACATTATAACCTCGTACTAAAAATAGGCAAAATCATGTGATAATTATGCTAAATACGATCTGCACACTCATTTATAAATTATTAATGATGATCCTTTTACGATACATAATTACATTAAGAAATTAATAACACTTCACCATCGATTCTCCAACACACCGATCGCGTTTAAAAGAAACAATTATTAATTATGATATCTAATTAGTAGTTATAATTGTTTCATTACAACAAATGACATTTATCTATACCGTGACTATCATATCGTTTACCTCCATCGTGGATAACCAAAATTTGTTTTTTTATATAACATTCAAACTTTCCCTAACACGTGTCATATTAAGATACTCTTTCAGGGCGGCTTTCTCTAATCAATTTACTCTTATAATATACTATGAGTAATATTCAGTAGTATAAATTGAGTTATCACGCGAAACGAGTAAACAAGATACAAGCCGATAGTTTATATTGAAAACATTTCATAAGAATACATTATAATATTAAGTGTATTTAACGTATTATACCATCATGTTTATATAAAAGCAGTGTTTTTTACGTTTAAGACCAAAAACCCTGATGAAATTCCGATTACTAGTATGTTCCGATTTAAATTCTATTAAGAAATATGAATTCTTTGGCTACTATTCTAGGTTATGTTGGAAACTATATTTTAATTTTTTGATGAAAAAAATAGTGTTTTAATATTAAAAAATTGTCAAATTAAATTTATTTAATTACACGAATATGAATTTGTTAAAAGAAAATTTGGTTCCTTCATAACCTACATTGTTTACCTACAATTATTGTTACATTATATGAACATAAAAATAATAATAAGCGAGGGTTCTAATTTCCGGTGTCAAACATGAGGTCGGCGAGTATTTTTAAGTGTCAGATTTCTTTTTAGACACCTATTATAATTGATAGTGTCAAGTCTCAATGGCCATCATAATAAGTATTATATATATATATATATTCTAAGAATTGGTCTTTTAAAAGCCTATACGAGTACCTGCTGTTTTTCCGCTACTACCTTCTCTATCGGTGAGGTCTATTATACCAAACGACGTGCAGGAAATTCAACCTGCATAGATTAGATTTTTACAATAAATTGTCGAACCCCTCATTTTTTTATAAACACAAGGTACGGAAGTAATACGTGGCTGTCATAATCGTCCCGTACATCCTGTCTCGATGTACATTTTTAAAGGTTAAAAAATGGGAATTTATCAAAAGATGCCATGAATAGAAATTAGTTTTTTTCTATAAGTACATTTGTTAAGTTGGTTTGTAGGGGAATATTTGTAAAATACACTTATTATATGTAAACACAAATATTTTCTTACTACTTTTTTTAATGTTCACAACTTAACTCTTAGTCATTCATCATTTTCGTGCGGTAGATTTTAGAATATATAAAAAATTAATTTTTATGGGATCAAAGTGGGTGATTTAAAAAAAAAAAGGCAAATGTTAATGATATTTGTTAAATCAAGTAATTGACAATTTCCAATTTTAATTGAATACTTTCAAATTTTTTTAACTTAAGGTGTTATAACTTATAATAAACTATATAAATAATAACATTATTAGTAAATTCTATAAAAAAAAAAAGTAACTTAAAACATGTTTATGAGCTTATAATACTTCACTTGACTACCAACATATTAGTTTTCTTTGTAAATAACCAGAAAATCATTTTTTAAATCCTGTGTTTACGAAAATATTTTAAAAAATCTCTTGACTGTATATTTTTTTGAAATATTTCGTTAACTTAATATACTAACATATTTTAATCAACTCACGTTTATATGCTTGTCATTTTTCGAAGAGCATCGTCTACACCATTATGACGAATAATTAATGTAGCATCACACAAACACAAAATATACTAACAAGTAAAAAAAAAACTCGACCACGGCAAAACAAAAACTATACGAACTCCGAACTCGTATATAGTATAATATTAATGCTCGCACAAGCACCCGGATAAAAATGATTAAATTTCGACACAATAACACACTTGCAAGGAATAAGGAAATACTGTTTCGCACTGGATTTTTGAACTGCGGCGCGTGAAGCCAGAATGAACGGCAGGACCGGCGCCGAGTGCCGGCCACCCGGTCGACACCCCACCAACAACCAATATACACGTGACGATTTTCAATACAAAAATGTACTTCTTGTTTTCTTGCTTTCCTTATATCCGTTGTTCACGGCAAATATGTATTATTCATGATAGTGTGTCGCCTTTATTAAAAATACCCATAATTACGCATAGTCATTGCATATTCCAATTAAAAATTATTGTATGCAGGTACTATTTTTTTATGTGGGTAGTTCACCGAAAATTCACTTTAATACAAGTGATAAAAATCTGTGTTTAAAATTAAAACGAATAATACTGAAGTCGAAACCAATATAGTTTATTTAAGCTTAGGAGCACTTAGTACAGCACCATCTGTCTCGGTAGAAAATAAAAAAATGTTTCAAACAATACCTAATAATTTTAAAAAAACATTAATTATTAGGCGATATGTAGGTTAATGGTAAAACATTTCTCGGAACCATTTAAAATTAAATTATCACCAAAGGTAAAACCTACTTGTATATTTCATTGCTTAAATTATGTCAGTACTCATTGTTTTAAAGTAAAAACAAATTGTATAAATGTTTTCATTAAACATTAGGTAGGTATATTTTTAAAACTAAAAAATGGATACAATATATTAGTGATTTTATCAAGGTAGTAACTTTTGTTGCACTTATATTGGTAATTTCAATTAGCACATTATTATTTATTAAACAATTTGAATGTAAATTTAGTTGTTTTTAAGTTTTCGATAATTTTATAAAAACAAATAATCCTAAAATCAAAAATTGTGGAGGTACACCTTTTTACAATTAAGGCCGACAATATGTGGGTGCAATTCAGTATTTATATCAAAACAAATCAAATATACTAATATTTCAATTTCATTAGTAGAAAATAAACCAATATTTTAGTGATTTTGCAAACTTTTAATAAATTAAATTTTTACTTATTTCAAAGTATCACACACATATTGAAGTTATTATACAGTATTTATACAGTTATTATACAGGTTATTATACAGTAATAAACATCAAATAACAATTATTATTATGAACCCCACAAAAATTGTTTGTATCAATGATAGAACTAATAACATCTCAGCTCCACGATGGAGCTAATATTAGTAAGTCTAGTACTGGAACACAATCGCATTGTGTTATCAGTCGAGTTTAATTTTAGTAATTTCTTTAGATTGTTTCTAATCTCGGAAATTTTAATTACACCGGATCATTAGGTCGCGGTTCATATTGCGCATAATATAGTTTTATTTTTTATGGGACATAATCATTTTTGAAATGAAGTCGGTTAAAAAATTTGAATGTCACCAGTCATATCATTATGAACACATTACTTTACTCATCTGGTCATCTGGAAACATTTAATATTTCATCTTCCCGCCACTGTAGGTTATTGTACGTACTAATAAAACGAAATATTTGTAAATGCATTTTCGCTATGGTCCGTTATGAAGTGTGATCAATATTAATCAATGGCTTGTATAAACGTTGATCAATAAATGATAGTTGATACTACATTAAACAGCAATAGTGCAATTTGTGCTTGTTTCAACTAATAATTATACTTAGTACATAGTGACGCATTGATACGGTAATAATATATTATATATATTTTTTAATATTAAGGAAAATGACAATTTTATCAACAAATTATTTTTGATTTCACGGTCTAATATTAACCAGTTCGCATAATTCTTCTTTTAAACTAGTTTTTCCCTTTAAAGCATATTAATTTTCATGCTAATATAATATAATTTTGTTCTAAAATTTGACCTTCCTTTATTCTTGACATATTCCCTTAAGTCATTTATATTGTAATTTTGGATTTCTCACTTAATAAAAGTAAACTAAATAAAACTTCGTGTTTTTTAGATATTTAGTCAGGCATTTAAGTATAGAAATGGCACAGTTTATAATTTGATTGTATATTATGTACATGCATTGCAATTAAGAACGTTATTTTAAAAATTGGATTTAGTTGAAACGCGAATTTAATACATACGTAGAGAGTAGTTTTCTAAATATTCTAAAATCCTTTTGTTCGTATTGTAGTAGTTGACTTTTGAAATGTTAATTTTCAACTTGTACATTAAAAATAGGTCTAGTGGAATAATAACATCATGTTTTATGGTCAACTAGGGTATAATTAATTATGTAGATGAAAATTGAAAATGTAATTGTTTCATAAAAATAACCGTCAGTTTTTGTATTTCTTACTAATAACATTATCATCGAATATTTTGTATTTAAAAAAAAGTGCACTCGACTTCCATTACCCGATCTGAACCTTTACCTATAGTTCAAGAAGTGTATCAAACTATTACGGTTTTGTCTTTCAATCTATATAAAAAGTCTTTAGTAATTAGTTCAAGAAAGTTAACTGTTACATAATATTTTTTAATACATTTTATGTTAGTTCAGCAATGTTAAATGTTTATGTAGAATGGTTTTATTTAAATATTTCAAATTTTTATTCTGAAATAGCAAGGTCAAAAACGTTTTTTTATAATGTTTGGTTAGCGACGAGACAAACTACGATAAGGTATTCAATATGATGTTTAGTAGAATTCTTGTTTAAAAACAGTCGAAATGGAAACACTATGATATTTGTCGTTTGCATAAAATTATCACTAAATATGTAATTAATGATGACGTATTCTTCAAAAATTTAACTTGTATCCAAATTATTTCGAAAGACCTCCCATCAATACGACACGTAAAATATAGTAGTCGCATCAAAAAACCAGTTCTTTTTTATTTTGTATTTGTAATTTTTAAAGAAAGTACATTTTTCTTGATATTTAACCACTTCTTTAAATAAACCATTGTACCTAGTTAACTTAAATAACTTTTTTATTCCTCGGAGTCTTTTAAAAACTGGTCAAGTAGATTAATAAGCAATTATTTTCATTTGGGTTTGAAACCGAGAGGTCTGTTTTTGACTATTAGGTATATATTATTATTTTGATCACAATTAAATATTAGTTTTTTTTTTCAATGAAGTAATCAAAAATGGTTCAGGTCGATTATTTTGACAAGGGAAACATTCTAGTTGTAATTTATGACTGTAATTATTTTATGACTACCTATACGGGAGGTATCTTATTAATACTTGTAACAATAAAGAAACAACCCTGCTATTAAGCATCATGTATATGTTATCTTATTTTCCTTGTATGTTTGATTTTGACTGTGATTTTAATTGCGGGACAGTAAATCTTTTTCTCTTAATGAATAAAAGTATGCTTAATGAACCGTCACAATAATATTTTATGGATACAATAGGTGAAATTTACGGGTTTCGGCGGTTTACAAAAGGAGTGTATCTTTAAATTTTAATTAACGATCTTAATATGTTATTTAGTAATTAGATGTGACGATAAATCCTACTTGTTAAATTAACTGTCTATGCTTATAATTATCATTTAGTATACATAATTATCATTTAATCGACATGACAATTATAATTTATAGATTTATAATAATACATCTAGTTGTAGAATATAGTTTAATAACTAATAAATACAATAAAGGTAACTGGTAAGGTAGCGTTCTAATTTGCACGGTTTTTAGTTTGTACCCATAACATAGTTGAATCTAGGCGGTCACTGATTTGAAGTAGTTGACTTATTTCATAGCTATTAAATCACTGTCAAATTCTTCTAAGCAAAATCATAGATGTACCTAGTGAGAAACCAGTACAGTAACAATTAGCATGGAAAGGAATTAGTAATCTACAGATTTGTACTTAAAATTTATCTTAAAAGTAATTGAACATTATATCAAAATACCTTCTTAAAATTAATAATGTTTATCCCCACCTCTTTTCAAATTCGAGAAAACGCCTTTATAGTTAATAAAATTCTCAAGTTTCAATTTTATGTATACTATTCATGTATGAGTGGATACTTTATCGTGTGATATAATTTGAATTCTTCGAAGTTTAATATTTGAATTTGAACATTCAAATACTTTCAATTTAAATACTTAAGTGTAAATTATTTTTAACAATAAACGAATATAAAAATACTATTTAAGAATGTTTTTAGCAATTTGACATGTCAACGATTGATTAAAATGAAATCTACTTATCTGTTATGTAATATTTGAAAAACCTAAATAGTCTAAAAAGTTTAACTTCTATAGTTAATCAAAGTTCAAACTTGGATTTATTAGAATATTTGATATTCGTCTCACGCCTACTAACTAGTTTCACTATGCTTGTTCCTCATTATCTCATCTCTGAATTCATCGAACCTTCATTTTTTATTTATAATTAGCTCTAATATGGACAGATCATAGTCTATGTTTTTCTAAAAAGTTAGTAATACTAAAACCTTAGTAATATTTTTTTTTATTCAAAAAATTGTATAATATACAACCTGTACAGTTAAAAATTAGTACAATAAGCATAAGCCATAAGGTATTACAATAAGATATATGTATTATGAGCTGTGTATGACGTGATGAAAGATATCATCCATTGATGGAATAGATGGAATTATATATTAGCATAGTTTAAAGGTGATGTTATGGTGTACCTACCTAATAAAGTAATATGATAAGATTTATTTTTCATTATAAAATAAGCAAAATTATTTTTAAAAAAAATAAAGCCTAGGTAACTAATATTTTTTTTAATCTCTTCTTAATAAGTAAAAAAATTTAGGCGCATTCATTTTAAATTATAATTTTTCAAGGGTTCCTATCTTAAAAGTTAAAAATGAACATTTATACTAAATATTAACATTCATTGGTGAAATTGATTCTGAGATATGACCCGCTGCAATTACCCTACTAAATCTAAACAGCTATTAATAACTACTATTACAGTCACTTGTATTACCGTTATGATTTTTAATACATTTTAATTCCATTCAAATAGACAGAGCACATTATAGAATGTTTAACATTTAAAAAGAAAATTAAAAATAACATTCATGTTAAACTATTAAAAACCCTAGGTAACGTATTAATTGTCAATAATTTGTCGACCGTATACATTGTAACTAAATATGTAGTGTAGGTACAAGCATTAATCATCAACAGCTAAGTCACTTACTAAATACTTATTTAGGTCGATATCTGTACAATATGTACATAATATAAAAATATATCCAGCCAGTAATACTTTTCAAACAAATTTACCGTTTTCTTTTTAAATATTTAACCTGTTAAATTTCGAAAGTTTTCTTTATTTATACAGGTAATGTAACGCGCTCTAAAGGAAATTTGAAAATTTCTCCGAAGTCCGAACCCACGTTGGTAAACTAACGGACCGACAAACGACAATAATTAATGCTATTCTATTTCAAGACAAATCGGATTACAATAGAAATATAATGCATGACGTAGTTATTGAAGATTAACCAGCGATGACGATGGCGACGAACAAGAAATTTGACATGAAGTCTCGAAAAACGGTCCAAGGTGGATTTCTAAATTCCCCTAGGTCGTGCCGTTATATTATTTTGGCTTTGTCCGCCGAACGATAATAATAAAAATAATAATTTACACGTCACTTGGACGTTTTTCGGAATTCATTATTCCAACATTGTCGCGTCGTGAAAACCACTTAAGCTCATTTTTTTCAAACATTGTAACACTCTTATAACTCTTAGTCAGATTCACGGCGCGACGAATTAAAAATAACTGGACACGATGAAAATAAGTATTTTTATCGTCGTCATATGCGACAACAAGCTAGGTCAGTCAGTCACTTTGTAGACGGTATCGAAATAGATTAATAAAAAGAAATAGGTAAAAGAAAAGAAAAAAACATTTATGTAATAGTAGTTGTATACTTACAGAAAGCGGTCATTCTGATTTCTGAAAGGGCGGGTCGACGAACACGAAACTCGAAAGCACGGCTAAACCGACGTCGTTTCAAGTTTAGCGCCTTAATTTCCTACGAACAAGCCGCCCAACGTGCACGTGTCACCGCCCGTGCCCCGTGGTAACACTGAAGAGGCGCGTTTGTGTGCGTGTGTGTGTGCATGTGTGTGTGTGTGTGTGTATGTGTGTGTGTGTAAAAGCACATCATATGAGATGTGGGAAAAAAACGTTATCAAAACCATCCACGACGAAAATCTTTATCAATTTATCGAATATTTATCAGTGGTGTTGCTGTGAGCGTATAATGTATATATTTTGCGTTATACCGTATAGGAGAATATAATAGTATATTATTATATTGTACTGTACTGCTCGTCGGACTCGGAAGTCATTCCACCAAATTTACAAAAGAGTTTGGGATCAACGTTGGCGGTGTAATGATGGTATTGCGTTAGGGCGGGTGTTACGGAAGTGTAGGTATTTCGCATGACCCACTAAAAAACTAACACGGTCATGTCCAGCAACTGAGGACTGCGTTATGAACTGTCATCAGATATTGAGTGGCGCCTGCAACGCAGGTGACCGATGCTTCGCCGTTGGTAGTGTAGAAGGAGTGCCGTTCACAGTAAGTACGGAAATGATCCGAGATCAAAGTGCACTTGTACCTAATGGTATCATTATGTAAATTAGGCGTATGCTGCCGGATGCAACATAGTGATATTGGCTAGTACCTTTGAGCGAGTGCAAATCATACCTGGTGCCATACACAATTATATTCGCATCAGTTGCCTCGACTGTTCTACTGACACTGGAAAAATAGCTGCGGCTTATGACAATCAGATATGTGTGTTTGAACCTACACCGTTAGTTTGCAAAAACTCTCCTCATGTAAGTTTACGTACATTTTATGTTTCAATAAAGACTGTCATGGGACCATATTTCAATTAGGGGTTAAAAATATTTGTATTTACTAATTTAAATACCTATAAAGTTAAGTAGCTTCGTCTATGTTGACAAATAACAATACTTAAAATGTATAATGTACAGTTTATTTATTTTAATTTTTATGAGTAATATTTTTTTATGTGATATTAAAACAGAAATACTATTATTTTAATTTGGAATAATATTATACAAATCACACATACTAATAAATATAGGTATCAAATTCAATTTTTTTTTTATGCAGCAATTAGACTATAAATGGGTAGAAACAGCTAGCTGGCAAACTGCTTGCCGAATTAGTTGTTTATCATGGAATCTAGAAGGTACTCGGTTACTCACAGGAGGTATTGTTTTACAACTTTGGCATCAACATTTACCTGAAGGGCCCATAGAAGAAAACACTGGTAATTATCTATCTGATTGATACCGACTAAAACTATTTATTACTTTTTACCTGATTTAGTACATAATTTATTATAAGTAATATATATTTTAAATATTCTTTTATGTTTTTTAAATTTTGTTAATAGGAATTTCTAGTGATGGAGTTACATTTGAAATTGGTGAAGAAGCTATACCAATGTCAACATCAGCACCTGATCACAATGAAATTCGAGGTTGGGAATGTGTTTGGCAAAAAGAAACAGCCACTCCTGTTGTACATATAGCATTTTCTCCTGATGGAACTTTGTTTGCTACTGCTGGCAAAGATGACAGACTAGTCAAAATTTGGTTTGAAAATAAACAACGTTAGTAGTTTACTATAAAATTAATTAGGATATACAATCTTTTACATTTTAAACCTTTTATTTGTATGACTGACTGGAGAATATAAATTCTTATTTTAGTACTTTTCCCATCAAAAAGCGTTGATCAAAATTATTCAATGAGTGCAATTTCTAATTTTGGAGAACCAAATTACGGTTTTGTATATATAGCTCATCCTCGAGCTGTAACTCAACTATCGTGGAGAAAAACTAGCAAATATATGCCAAAGTAAATTACTTTTATACTTGTTTACAGCTTGTTTAATCTATTTTAATATTTATTTCAGAGGTTCTGTTTCTAACATGTTAGTAACATCATGTAGAGATAATATTTGTCGTCTCTGGTCTGAAACTGTGTTACCTGATGACGGATTGGTAAATATGAGTCATTTTGATCCATTGGCTGCTCATAATCCTCGATTTCGCACCCATAGACACAAACATAGACTTCTTCAACGTCTTAAACATATGAAGTACTTACATTATTTTCATGTCAAACACTATATATTAAACTACATATTTTATTTTATTATTATCATATATTTATTTTAGAGCTTGTTTTCATATAAGAAGACATGCTAAACATCAAGGAGACTTGGGAACAGGATTAGCTGGCAGCACAAGTTCCACTATACCTACTTTACCATCTACTTTCAGTGTGCATGATTTTCACAGCTATGGTTTTCACGGCACCGGTATCATTCCTGGACTTCATTTTCATTTGGCTGCTAGTATAAATGCTGAAACAGGTGAATAATACTATTTCGTAATTAAATTACTTAATATTACACAATGCTGATTGACACTTACATTATTTTTATTTTTAAAATAAATGTTACAAAGTTACATAAAACCGTTTCTATTATCAAGCAATAATATATGGTTGTCTTTTTTTTCATTTAACATGTATATGTCTTTAGATATTCCATTAGTGCCTAGTTTATCAAGTACTGATCCTGAAAGAGAGCCTAATTTTGTTTTACATTGGCTTAATAATAAAGAAATGCACTTTTCACTTCAGGCTGAAGCAATTTTAAACGTATGTTTTTAAATTTGATTTTTATATTTGGGAATGTACCTCTTCAGTTGAATAATACTCTAATGAGAAGTAATATTACCTGCTATTTAGGAACTTACTAAAAAAGTCGTAGAAAAGGATGATATACTCATAAATGAAAACTATGTGATATCAGAACATCACGATGTTGATTATGATACGAGACGTAAACCAAACAAACTTGGCAAAGGAATTTCTCAAGAAGAAAGTATAAGTGATGAACATAGCTATCCGTCTAGTCATCCTACTCTAAGGTATAGTATGCTAACATTCACATAACGTATTACTTGTTTTATTTATTGTTAAACATCTTATATTTTTCTATTTACTTTAATAGCAATACAACTTCTGTCAACTCACTCACAACTGATACCAATCACATGGCCACTGATTCTTTAGATAATAAAATAGAATGTCTATTACGAGACTGGCACCATAGCCCGGATTTGTTATTTGCTGTTCATCCTATTGATGGAAGTTATTTGATTTGGGTGGTTGATTGGTTAGATGAATATCATCCTGGATCATTTAGACAAGCTCAGGTTTCTTTTTCAACAAGAATACCTAATGCTTTTCCTCTCGGAGATGCCACTACGATGTCACATAACGTATGTTTGTATCATACATCTGGATCGAGTTTACAATTAGCTTTCAGAGATGTAGTTAAAACTGCTGCTGCAGCGCCAAGCAGATCTCCTAGTGACGCACATGGTTTGTTAATACATTAAAAAAAAGTCAAATTGTATTTTAATTGCCTTTTTTTTAAAGCTACAAATAACGATTATGGTGAATCAAGTCTTCCTAGAGTACTAGAAGAAGATGGAGATTCTTTAGGTGATGATATTGATCGTCAAAATGAATCATCAGTTGAGCCATCATCATTGACTGAAAATGGAAAACCTGGTAGAGCAACACCATCTGTAGGTGAAGACTCTGGAACTTTTAACGATATAATATCTGCGCCTCCATGTCCCACTTTATCAATGGTTACAAAACATACTAATGGAACACTTAATTTATGGCAACTTACTTTTGCTGATAAGTCTAAATTCTCACAAGTCCTAAGCATTGGTCATGCTTCACGAGCTTCTGGACATCGTTTCCGAGTAAACGATGTAACCTGCCACCCAGTGTTACCTCTGTTACTAACAACATCTCATCACAATCTACCTGATCAAGAGACCCCTGCTTCCCCTTTATCGCCATACCCACCTATAGCTCAACCACCTTCAGTGAGTATAATTTTATTGTTTTACATAGAAAAACAAATATATACATGAAATTTTAATGAAAAAAAATTCCAGGGATTTTGTAGTGAACTTATACTTTGGAGAGTGGATGCTGTTGGTCCTCTTTCAAAATCTGGTGGTGTTTCAGAACTCGCCCGCATCAATTCTCTTCAAATATCAGCGTTTTCAAATGTCGCTTGGATACCAACTTTATTACCGAGGTATAATTAAGATTAAAATGTTCTCGCATACAAATACAATTTATTATATTTCAGCACCACTTTGGGTACATTATCAAATTCTCCAAGTGCCTGTTTCGTGGCTTCAGATGGAGAATGTTTACGTGTTTATCAAGCAGTTATAGATGCTAGAACTTTATTAGCTGAAGTATCTAGCTCAGAACACCGTAGTCGAATAGCTGCTGTATGTATTTATGTTTATATGTATATCATTTAATAATATTTTATATTTGATCTATAATAGTATTTACTCAAATTATTCTCAGGACTCCATGGTAAGCTTGTCAACTGATGTTTCTTCTGAAACGGAATTGAAGCATAATTCATTACATGATCGTATCAAAATAGTATCTCAACAGTCGACTGCTAGACCTGGATGCATTATTCAACTTGATGCAATATCTGATGCGACTCATGTAATATTTTACTATATATCATGATAACATGAGAGCATGTTCTTTACATTAAATGAAAACTATTATGTGTTTTCTATTTTCAGGATTGGCAAAATACCCAATTTTTGCATGTATTTCAAGAACAGTTAATGACTGGGGAACGATCATCTGGTAGAGGTTTAGTAGATGCAATCAGTGGTTTAGAAAATGAGGAGCCCGATGAAGATTTTGAAGAACCGTTTTATTTAGTTGTCCTTGAACGTACTGTTCAAGGTACAACAGTTCATATGTGGCGTTTAATAATAGCTTCTCAGCCAGAAAATAATCGTATGTTATTTATTATATAATATTCATCCTGAATCAACTTTATATATTTATATATATATATATATTTTTTTTTTTGTTACAGCTACTTTAAGTGAAAGTATGATGTATGTACCTGACAGTCAGTTAGTACAAGATGACGATGAGATGGATAATACCGGAAAATTAGGTACAGCTCATTTAAGTGGAGACGAAACCACACATCAAACTTTTTCAGCGTTTGCCCCACATGTATCAATATCTACAACAAAAGTAATATATAAATAACAAAATGTATTTTTGCTTACTATAGTTGAAATATACATTTTAAGATTTGTACACAAGAATTAAATTTACCCGATGGAGTGGATGTAATTCATGCGTCTCCAGCTGGAGGACACCTAAGTTCTGCTTCCATTTATCCGGCTTGTTTTGCACCATATGTGTTTGTTACAGCATGTTCTGATAGCACTATAAGGTTTTGGAAGTGTAAAATTACCAAATTTGATAATAATGTTAGCTATCAATGGGTTGAGTGGGAAATGTTAAAAAGAGATAGAAAATCCATGATCGAAATATCAGGTTTGTAACTACCTTTGTTACATTTCTTGTGATGCTTAACTAGCATCTTTTTCCTTTATACATTAACTATCTATGATGTAATAATTTTTTTCCATTTTCAATTATAAATAATAAATTTATGTGTAATTATTAAGGTCAACCTTTGAATATAAGTGCAGCTTATAGTGGTCGTATTGCGTGTGCTTATAAATATGGCAAGTCATTCACTCGACCATCCAAAAAAGACCCAGAATCAAGATATGTAAACTTATGTGTAGCAATTTATGAGTGTGAAAGTACTGGTGGTTCAGAATGGTTACTTGAAGACACTATACACATGAAAAATATTCATTTGCCTAAACTTCATATTGACCCTAGTGTAGATATGACTTATTTACATGATCAAACTATATTATCATCTAAAAAACACAAATTACAGTCTACAGTTTTAAAAGCTCTATCATCAGAAGATTTAGATGGAACAAGTGGCCGAAATAACGGTAGAAATGGTGAAAATGATACAAACTTAGTCAAAAGCAGTCATGGTAAGCAGTAACAAAGTAAAATTTTGTAATTATATGTATAGCACCAATATATGTATTAGGATGGACCAAAAAAAATTGTTTTTGTTTTTTTCTTTCTTCTCTTGACATTATGTTCCTTGGGGTAAAATAATATTTCCCTACATTTTTCAGATTTTTTAAATTATTTTTAGAGGTTGCGAGCATCAGTTTTCCAAAAAAAATTGTTTTTGTTTTTAATTTTTTAAGGTATAAATATCAATTTTAAACAAAATGTTGCTTGTATACAAAATCATCATTCGAAAAAGAGGAATAGAGCAGTATTTTTTTTTTTTTACAATAAAAAATACTATCCAACTAATTTAGGCCTTAGAATGTAAAATTTGTAAAAATATTGATATATATACCCTAAAATATTTTTAACTTATTCCTCATTTAGTTACGAAGAATTCCAATATACTAACATAACACATTATTCTAACAATAAATCAGAAAAAAAATTAATTTAAAAAAAAACAAAAAACAAGTTTTGAATACTGTTACTTAACAAATATATATTTTTTTAGTTCATAGTTTTTACAAGTAATTAACAAGTATATTCCAAGGAACATAATGTCAAGAGAAGAACAAAAAAAAATTTGTTTTGGTCCACTCTAATATATATATATATATTTAAATGTTCAGGTTTATTAGCTGTTCCAAGTTTTAGTACTCTTCAATCACTTAGAAAATCGATTATTGAGAATGGTAACACATGTCCATTAACACAAAAACATATAGTTCAGTTAGACTGGGTATCTAAAGAAGATGGTTCTCATATACTCACTGTTGCTGTTGGTAGTAAAGTACGTAAAACACATTTTGTTGTCAGGGCCAAAAAAGTAACTGCCTGTGGGTTGTTGCGCTCTCTGTTCCCCGTCAGGAAGTCAAAATTGGAGTTTTTTTTAATAAATTCCAAAAAAATAGGGTTTTGATTTTTGAACAGTAGATGGATGTGAAGAAGTCGGGCAGCAAACTTGTTGGCCCCTGACTATATATAAGTTATTAAGTACAATTATTATACTTATTAAACTATAAATCTTAGTTGTATATAGGTATTATATTATTTAAAAAAGTAATGTGTAGGATTTTAAACAAAACTCTTTTTCAAATTGTTTTTTTTAATCAAAACAAATTTATGAAGAGTTTTTGTTGGATTTAAATGAGAAGGTGAGGAGATGTTAATGATTTTATAATATTGTATTTTTTTCTTTTTTTTGTGTGATGAACCCATAATTTCTTCAAAACCACCAAACTAAACAACATTATGTAGCAAGTCTATAAAAATCAGGAATTAAAGAATGTTAAAAGTTCACCTTTACCTTTCAAAATCGAAAAATAACACTAAAAAATTTACATATTTTTCAACTTTTTTTCAGTTTTGTTTAAAAAAGTCAATTAGTTTTAAAATTATTATTCTTTAAATTAATTAATAACTATTGATAAATGTTGGTGAACACTTTCTATTAATTTCTTTTTTTTGAGCATAGTTTTAAGACATAAGGTATGAAGATTAGACTGAAAGTAGAATTAGACCTTATATAGCAAAACTGTTTAAACAATATGAATGATTTGACGACCATGAAATTCATAGAAAAAACGTATCTTTTATATTAGAGCATATTTTGCAATACTCAGAATATATTGCATCATTTTCTGTAAAAATTCATTTTTTATTTAGTATGTATTAATATAAGGACTTAAGAGAGGCTGTTTTAAAAGCTACTGCGTATAAATTAATTACCAAAGAAATGGTTAGCAATATAAATAGTTAATAATATTATTCTACAACTTAAAATTATGTTGGCATTAGTTTGTTGTTTTTACCAAAGATTTGTTGTTTTTAGAGAGATTGTTTTTAATATTACAATCTAACATTTTATGAGTAACAATATCTCTTAGGAATACATTTTTATTTAATTTTAATTTATTAACTCTCAAAAAAATTATATGCAATATTAATATTTTCCTTTTTTAAAAATTTTGTTTCATTTCTTTTTTTTAATTGAAAATTTGATATTTTTTTGTTACATATGTTCATGTGTAGAGAGTAGGGTTGGGACTAATATTCGGATTTTGCGGATTTCCAGATCATTTGATATCCGGATAATTCGGATACGGATATCTGAAATCCGGATAATTTCGGGTATCCGGATAATTGATCAACTATCCGGATATCCGGATAGTTTCGGATATCAAATAATATTTCAATTATCCGAATAGTTTCGGATATTCATTTAATTTTTAACCAGCCGAATATATTTTTTTGAGTACTCAAATTTATGTATTTTTTGAAATTTTCACGGGTTGTAATATCACGTGGATGATTTTCAGATATATCCGTGTCAGTGGTTATTAATCGGCAGCGAAACAGTCGTGACAACCCCGAGGATGGACTCTGCAAAGAGTCCGAATAGTCGGTTAACAACCACTGACACGGATATATCTAAAAATCATTCATGTGATAGTAAAATTTAATTAGGTGTCATTATTTTATTTTTCGGTATGTTTAAAAACACTGTATATTATTAAGGAATATTTGTCTTATAATAATGAAATGAATATCCGAAACTATCCGGATAGTTAAAAACTATCCGGATTTCGGATATCCGTATCCGAATTATCTGGATAATTCGGATATCCGAATATCCGGATAGGCCCAACCCTAATAGAGAGTGAATGTTAAGGTTTTCATAGATATTTTTTCTTGGCTTTGTGCCCCTCTACTAATTTGTTAAAAAAAATTTACTTTTTATATTTTGGGGATTTTTTTTAGGTTAATATGTTAATAGGTTTTTATGTTATTTTTCACAAAAATCTATTTCGACCCGTTTTAAAATTCTGAAATCATAAAATTAAAAACTCAAATCAAATCTTTTGGTCAAATAACAGGAATGGGTAGATTTTTTTTTTTTTTAATAATGAAATTTTTTTTTTAAACCTGAAAAAAATGTATAATTTTTGTTTTTTTATTTAAAAAAATAAAATAAAACATGTCTTGGTATAATTCGATTTTTTTTACATTTTAGGAGTAAAATATAAAAAATGTGCCTTACAAGTAAAATAAAATTAAAAAAATTTCAAACATTTTTGAGGAGATTGAGCCGATGACCGCGTTGTTTGACTCAAAATGACCCCATATATAAATAATTTCAATAATTCAAATGTTTCATTATGTACTATTTAACTACTACATACACTTTTGTACTTATAGATCATGTTATTTACACCTGTGTCAAGTGATTTAGCTCAAGCTAACATGAAAGCAATGAAGGAGTCTCAATCAGTGAACCGTCCTATTTTACGAAAAGCATCCTCATTAGCTTCACCCAGTTTTGTGGATGAAATAAGGTAAAATAAAATAGTTTATTAACAAGCAATCACATACATAGATGATAATGTATTTCTTTAACTGTTTGCAATAATTTTCAGGTGGATGAAATTGAGAAAAATTGATCTCACAACTGCAGACGGCTTACCTCCACTCCCAATGCAGATGTCTTGGGTCCGTGATGGTATACTAGTTGTTGGTATGGACAGTGAGATGCATGTGTATTCACAATGGAAACCAAATTCATGTGAGATTCATAAAAAAAAATGTTATTTGTTATATAATGTTATTATTTTTTAATTACTTTTAATAATAATTCAGTAGATATACAGAAAAATACCATGCCATGTTGTAAGCTGGTGCACCAAGAATCAGATGAACTTCAAGATACTAGAAATCTTAGAGACGAAGATCTCAGGACATTAGCTCATGTATGATTCTTTGTTATAAATTAAATTATTTACAAAAATTGATTTCTCAACTGGACGTTTATTTATATTTTTAGGAAACCTCTCAAAGACGGTTAGCCAATGTAAGTTCAATGCCACATTTATCTCGTGTAAGTTCAATAAACTTGAACATGTTAACTGCTGAAACTAAGAAAAAGAAATTTGGTATTCAAAGTGGTGATTCTACTAGTAATATGGATTCTTATATGCCTGATTATGGTCTCTTTGAAGCCAGTCGTATAGCTTGTCCAGTTCTTCCTCAATATCACCCTAAACAATTAATGGAACTTTTAAACTCAGGAAAAATTCGATGGGTAAAAGCTATTTTAGCCCATCTTGTCAGGTAAAAAGTAACTAAATATTAATGATGGGAATCCAAAAAATCTGGATTTTTACAAAAAATGATATTTAAGCCACTACACAAAGCTGTGTAAATGTTAACCTAAGTAAAATATTTTGATGAAAAATTAAAAAAAAAAATGCTTAACCTTGGCTTAATATTCAGATTTTGTACTCCAGGTTTCAACAAATCCGAAATCTAAAACATTTTTATCTTTTTAGTGTTTTATTTTATTTTTACATTTTCATCAAAGACATTTTACTTGAATGCATATTAATATACAGTATTTATAATAATTTCAAATAGCTAAAATAGTGTTTTTTGTAGATATCTAGATTTTTGTATTCCTATCATTACTGAATATGTTTTCATTATATAATGAAATTACATTAATTTATTTACAGTTATATGTTTGACTAATTTATGCTTACTATTATTATTTGTTTTTATTTAGATGTATATCGACAACATGCAGCGTAAGACAAGGAGCTGTAGTATGTTCTTATTCAGAAGAAGATAACCTTACTCGTCAACGAGGATGGTCTCGATCAAGAACATTATCAATGAGCTACCCTGGAAATGGTATAAGTTTAAAAACTAATTATTTTAAATTAGTAAAAAATCCGCTTAAAAACAGAAAGTGATTTCAGGAAACATGTTTGTTTACACTTTCTAATTTTGTTACTTAACTAATATTGTTGAAATAAAAGAAAAAATTAACTGTGAATTATCAAGAGAGTTCATTGCAAAAAACAAAAATATATACGAGAGGCGAAAAGGAACCTCTTGTCGTAAATATAAAATTTTGAGCTATTGATATTCCAAATTCTGAACATTTTGCGATCTAAATCGTTTTCCTATCTTAAAAATTGGCTGAGTTATATTTGTTTGAGTTTATTATCGGAAAATGTTTTTTTTTAAGAAAAGATGCTTTAAAGTTTTGAACTTTAAAGCATCTTCTGAAAAAAAGTTGCCAACTTTTTATTCTACACACTTAAGGAATGAAACCTAACCAAAAATTAAAATATGGCACTGATAACATAATTTTTTATATGTTGTTTACGTAAATATGCTTCCAACTGTGATCAATGTTTTAGGCTCTCCTACAATTTAGATTCTCGCGACAAGAGGTCCCTTCTCCCTTTCCGCCTCACCTATATTAGAATTATGAATGACATTCTGTAAATTGATTATTTTACAAAATGCTTTATTTTAACCGAGCTATTCTTCTTATACATTTCCCATTTAAGTAGAGTTGATCAGCTAAATATTTTTATCGATTATTCAAGATTGAATATTAAATTACTTTTAAAATTATTTTTACTATTTTTACTATTGAACTTACAATCAACCTAAATTTGAGTCACTTTTTTCAGCAACAAGTCCTTTGGAACCTAGAGGATCAACTACAGCAATTCCTGAAGAGCTCATGTTAGATTATGCTGAAATAACATCTATTCCACCACTACCTTTATGGACGCTATTAGCAGCTGACAAAGAAAATGCTAGTACAGCTCTTAAATTAGCTGAAGACGATAAAGATTATAATGAACTTTTCAATGGAAATATTTCAACATCAGAAGACAATCTAGATGATATATTGAATGATGTATCCGAACCAGGAAGTCCACATAAAAGTGAACGTAGATTATCTAATGTTACAGAGAAACAACAATGCTTATTATCACATTTTGGACCAAAACAAGGGCAATTATTGTCTCGTTTATTAACTCATACACATTTGCCAGGGTTATCCAGCTTAGATCAAATGCATTTACTAGCTCTTGCTGATACAGTATCTACTTGTAACACAGATTTTGCTGATCGATTTGTTGACAAAACACAATTTACAAAAGATAGTTCAGTTCCGCACGAAGGTGAAGTTTGCTCAGGTATGGTAGAAAAATTAAGTAACTAACAAAGAAAGGTCATTTCCGTGAACTATAGATTTGAATGAAACCTATAGTATATATTATACTAGTATCTTTAATAAAATATAATTACCATATCATGCTACTTGCTAGAAAACAGTGCACCAGTTTAAGTAGCACTCATATATAGTGTATATGAAAGTTTTAAAGGGAAATGAGGTAGTTAATACAGTAAATACACAATATTGAATTTTAAAGCTTATAAATATGTAAATTTTACATTTTTCAATGACTTTTTATGACAACAATAACTTGTGCTATGTTCTGTCCTCAGTGTCTACATTGTTTAGTCTCTATTTATTTTTTAGATTCACTAGATGACTGCGGTCTCAGATTCTTGTTAGCAATGAAACATTACAATTACTTGTTAAGATGTTTGGGTGTAGCTCAGCGTACACAATTCCAAAAAAGAGGAATGTGTTCAGCTGATATAGCTTGGGCATTTCATTCTGAGAGTGAAGAAGAATTATTACAACTTACTCCATCTTATGTAAGAGGCAACCCACGGTGGTCAGCTTTAAAAGAGTTAGGTGTCGGTTGGTGGCTAAGAAATCAAACTTTGTTGCGAACTTGTATTGAAAAGGTTAGTGTGTATGATATTTGTCTGTATACATTTTTTACCTATTGATATTTTTGTAGTAATACTTTATCTCTAATATATTTTAATATTTGTTTTTAATTTGAAATAGATTGCAAAAGCTGCTTATCAGTTAAACCAAGATCCATTAGATTCAGCTATATTTTATCTTGCAATGAAAAAGAAATCATTAGTTTGGGGTCTATTTCGATCTAAGAGGGATGAACGTATGACTCAGTTCTTCTCTAATAACTTTGCAGAAGATCGCTGGCGGAAAGCTGCATTAAAAAATGCATTTGCTCTTCTTGGTAAGCAACGATTTGAACATGCAGCCGCATTTTTCCTGCTAGCTGGAGCACTTCGGGATGCAATTGAGGCAAGTTTATTTAAAAATATTAATATCCCCAATTTATTATGGGTAATTTTTTCTATTCAGGTGTGTTTGAATAAATTGGATGACTTACAACTAGCCATGGTTATAGCACGTTTATATGAAGGTGAAATCGATTCTACACCGCCTAATTTAAAACGTCTTTTATATGAGGTATTTGGAAAAAAAAATTGAAAAAAACAAATTAATGTTAATATTAATCTGGTTTCAATTGTGTAGGAAATTCTTGGTTGCGATCAGAATGGGGAAAATCAAAAGCTATCAATGGCTAATCCCGATCCATTCTTACGATCAATGGCCCTTTGGATACTTAAGGATTTTACTGGAAGTCTAAATACTTTAGTCCAAACAAATGTTGGTACTATGCATCCATTATATAATGATGAAGAAAAACAAGAAACTTCAGCTGGTATTTTGTTTATAAAAAACTAGTTATGTTAAAATGTAAATATCTAGTTGATTTTGTTTTATTTTTGCAGCAAATCCTAATGTGTTTAATTTTTATGTTTATCTTCGAACACATCCATTATTAATTAGACATTATTTAGCATCCACATATCAAGATAAGAAGAATCATACAGTTGTTCTTGCTGGATTTAGCTATGGATCTGATGCGAAATGTAGAGAAACTTCAGACCGACAGGTATAAGACAAAAACAGCAATGTTAAATATTTTACTAACGAATTTGCTTTTTAAAGTTGATGCTGGAAGATTCTATATCTCCGTTGGAAAGACAGTTGTATTTCAAAACGGCTCATGCTCATTTCAAAGCGGGTTGTCCAGCTCTTGCTCTAGAAGTTTTGTCCAAGCTGCCAAGCAAAATAATGGACCCATCAACTGAGTCAAATAGTAAGTCAAATTTACTGTATATTTATTTTGGCTTTAATTTAAAATGACCATGCTAAGGTATTTAGTACTTTTCTTAATTAACATAATCATATTCAACTGAACTATTACATAAAATTTTAATTTGAGCGCCCGTGTACATATATTTTATGATTATGATACATTTAGTACAGCAAACAACAGCAAGCTGTTTTAATAATAATATATATATGAATATATTTATTAAACTACATGACATCAGATAATGTATACTCTTCTTTTAATCGATTCACACATTTTTAAAACTCCTTATTCTAATTTCCTTAGATTATCAAATTTATAACTACTTTTTAACTTCAATGTGTAGCTGAGAATGTATTGCTTAAACATTATTATTATTATTATTTTTTTTTTTTTGATGACTAAGGGCTGTACTTAGCTTTGCCAGGCTAAGGGAAAATTAAATCTTCTAGGCCCCTTTTATTTTAATTTTTTTGTAGGCCTGGGCCCCTTAAAAATAAGCGTTAGGTCGGGCCCCTAACATATGACCCCGAGAAAACCTGTCTGAATACGTCCCTGCTGAGGCATAAGGTTTAAAAATTTGTCTGAAGGTATATCTGGAATGGGGCTATACAATAGGTAATTTTCTCAATAATCTGTAGTCAGACTTTCTTTTTTAAGGAATATTAAAAAAAATAAGGAACAATTACACTTTGACTGTAGCAAATTTTAAGGGTTGCTATATGAGAGTGAATAAACAGTCACAGGTATTCAAAAAATATTTTCTTCATATTGTCAAATACAATATATTGACATGTCCAATGAAGAAGGACGTAACTTGATTTTTATAACTTTTCAGTTTATTTAATATTAAGATAGCATTTCATTTTCTTTATCTCCCATAGAGACGATTTGTAACTCCTTTCAACCCTGATACTAAAAGTTAAATTTTAAATACATGTTTTGCTTCACAATGCTTTTTTTAATAATTGTTTTTTCTACCATGTACAGATTTCCCATCAAAACTTTTATTTAAAAGTAATATAATCACAGTTATAATAATTCTTGTTTACCTGAGCCCACCCTGTCTCAATATGCTCTTTCCCCACAATGCTGTGACCCCACTGTACTTTTTTGTTGTATATTCTGGAAACCAAATCCTTTTAATTATTGTGGTTTTTTACTTGCTTGGTGTTAGGTTTCCTTTATCTTTCGTTTTTTTTTGGGTAAATTGTTATGTTATAACTTATAATAATATCATGACCTGAGTTAGTAGTTTTTTTGTTTTACTAATAAAAAATAAATATTTTGTGACAGATTCTATGTAGTATTTTTATAAATTATATATTTAAAAAAAATAAGAGATTAGAGTAGATTTGTTCCAAGTACCAAATATATTTAAAATATAAACTAACAATATATTATAATATGCTAAAAATAAAGAGGTAATAATTAATACTAACTATTGACATAACAAATCTTATAATTAAATCTCACTGTTAAGTAATAATGTATTGCAGCTCTAGGTAATACAAACATACATTTAAAATCATGCAAACATATTAAAAATATAACAAATATTACCTTCGTAGTTTCACATCGTAATTTGTATACAAGAAGACAAGTACTATTATTTGTTATATTTATTTATTGATCAGAATGCTTAATTAATTGTATTAATTAAATATCACTCAAAAACTTTATAAAAAAAAAACAAAATAGTTGTTTAATCTATGCTCAAACTTTTGAATGACTGTATTTCTTCATCTGGTGTTATTGTTTCTACTTCACTTTGAACCACACCATTTCTGTATCTTTCTTCTGCCAAAAAAAACTCACGGTTTTCGATCATTTCAGCTCTCAGTTTGTCTATAAAAATGGGAACGAATAAATTAAATATAATTTTAAAAAATAATAAAATGCTGCTTAATTTATACCCATTGATTCTTGCAATGTTGGTGCTTGTCCACCGAAATCTTTTGGTACAACGTGTTGAGGAAGAGATTTTAGAAGTTCTTCCGTTTTGGAAACTGATTTGATTACAATCTAAATTAATAATAATTTATTTTTAAACACAACGATCGAGTTTATTTAAATTGTCATTACATACTTTGTTTATTAGAGCAGCACTCATAAAGGGTTTCATTGTTGAATATATTCGTTCAATTCCAGGTGTCACATTTATAATGTATATTTGTTCAATAATAAACGGTGTTGCCTCCTATTACAATGCCATATCAACTATTAGGATGTTTAATTTTGCAAGTTGTGTGTTTTTAATTTTAATAAATTATATAATTTACTTGAACGTAAGTCATTAGGTTTTTCGCATTCGATAGCGAATATCGCAGCGCGTGGCTCAATCCAAATTTTCTGGAATCTATAAGGATCCTGTAGCCTGGCATAGTACCCTTTTCGACTTGTTTGAGTTCGATGGCCATAAACGTTAACTTAGCCGCGACGTTGGGATAATATTGGGAGGCATCTCCAATTTTCAAACTTGTCCATATGTAACTGTAACGTTCGACTTCATCTTCGAGTATGTTAATATTGCTGTAAATATAATAAACACGATAAATATTTTATTCTTATAAGGTTGGCATAATAAATATTAAACATTTTCTCACACAACGTCGAATTGTTTTTGGTTGAAGGGATGTGTAGGATCCCTTCCTCTAAAGTAAATTGCACACTTTTTAGCCCGTAAAGTGAAGTATTGGCTAATGACTTTTTTGGCATTTTCTCTATCGTAATTGCAAGCATGCAAAAACATGATAATTTGTATGTCTGTAAGAGGAACAAAGCATTAGTTGGTTATTTTATTATTATTTCTATGTAATCAGTTATTATAGTATCAATACAATGTTTTATTGACTATAATACACACATAGTTGGCGAACTAAAACTTCTTAAGAATTTGGTGCTTGTAAAGTGTAGAGCTCATGCTCTCTATAAAAAGATTCGTAGTCTTGTTGATTACAGTAAATTTAATTTTCTGATATATTTCGGAAAGACTACTATAGTAAACGGTTGTATGATTACATTTTATCGTGAGTTGTGTTATCATGCTCAAGCCTCTTGCTCCAAAGCATTAAAAATTCTCGGTTTTATTAAACGATTTTGTACTAAGTTTAAGTTTTCTTTAAAAAAAGCTCATTACTGTACACTAGTTAATCTATTAAAGAGTATGGAATTCCTATAATGCATGTATTAGGAAAAAAATCAAAAGCTAGTAGCTTAAGTTGAGTTTTGCTGCTTTTATTATAAATATTAAATAATGATCATAATCTTCTGATTATAGTCCGATAAATAAGCTTGGTCATCGGGTCTTTCTGCAAACTTATTGTGCTTCAAGAAATTAACTGACGGTTCAATTGACTCTCGGGAGTTACTTTGTCAAGTTAATTTTGAAATTCCTCCATTCACGTACAGATTTCTATAGACCCTTTTTTGTACCTATAAACTAAACCAACCGATTTTTAGGACGATGCGTCTTTATATCTATTTTAATGTTAGTATTCTATAGATGTTTTGTGTTTTAAATTATTGACTTATTAAATTTTAAATGGGTGGTATTAATTGAATTTATAAATTAATTAATACTTGATGTTAACAATAGAGCTCAAAATATGACCTCGATAGTAACAAGAAATTTAAAAAAAAATAAGCAAAAAGGTTTTGCGTAGATAGGTAATTATACAAGTTAATATGTTGATAAAATTCAGCTGTAAAACTAGCTGGAAATTGAAACTTCGGGGCTGTCGTCTTGCCAGAAACTCGTAAGAGTTAAATCGAATAGAAATCAAGCGATATACAGCAATTGATAAGTGAATATCGATTATTATTATTATATAAAAAAAACGCTACATTAAAACGTGTTTATTCATCAACAATTATAAACAAATTTAAGAGTGAATAATTATTGAAATACAATTTTCACTCAGAATATTTAAGGAGAAAAAAATTAATATATACATGTTTGAACTGATTAAACTGTAAAATATTAATTACTTGAACAGATTACGCAATTTATATTGTTTTTGTCTTTTAGTTTTTGTCTGATAGTTGACTCTCATAAAAAAACCCATGTATTTTAATAAAATAAAAATATATTGTTGTTTATTTATTTTTTTAAATTGAAGTAGCAATGTAAAAAGAGGGGAGGGAGGTTAGCGGGCAAATATAAACCCTAATTTGTTTCAGGGCTATGTAAACATGAGGCTGCTTAATTTTATTTTACATTAGGGCCTATTCGTGCCATTGAATAGGATACAGTGATTATTGATTTATTATCAGCCAATGTAATTTATTTTTTATTCAATAGTTAGTTATAGATACATTAAAAATCCATTTCAATTTTAGAAATGTTGTTATTCAATACATATTTTATTTCTGTTTATACAATATATTTTGTAACATATATTTGACTTCATAAAATTATGTTGGTCACGTATTTTCAAATTTACTATTATGTAAAAAGTAACTGAATAAGTTAACAAGGATGTTACATAAATATACTTGGTTATAAAAAATCACGTTTATAACGTGTTTACTAAAAGTATATACTACTTAGTTTATAAGGCTTCACTTTATTTACAAACTAGTCATGAATAACGTTATGAAATTAATAACTACTTATATAAACTTGCATTTAATTTTAATATATAAAAATGTATATACTTCTCATTCTCTAGTATTGTGAACTAAAAATAAGTCATTCAATTTCAACTAAATATTTTTAGCAATTTTTTTTTGCATATTATAAAAATAAAGCTTTCTGTATTAAAAAAATATCTATTTAATTTAGCATAATATCTTTACTGTAGTAAAATTAATTTTAATATATAAAATGTAAAGTTATCGAACATAAAAGTAGCACTTTCTTATAAATATTTTATTAATTGTTTTATCTATTATCAGATTATTTACTTGTGTAGAGCTTAGTCATTTGTAGTTTGTTTGTACTGTGTTATGTGTATAATAATATAAATGTGTGTAGCGTTATAAACGTACCGGTAAGTTTGCCGTTCACGTTAATATTATCGTTTGCCCATTTGAGAAGCTCTTGAACGTCGTTTTCCGAAAGTTTTGGATTTCTTTCATATTCCTGTTGCGGTGTGATTTTATAAAATTTTGCTATGTCCTCCATGATGATTATTGTATTACTACTTTCACGGCTTTGATTAAAAGCGTATTTTTACACAAACTATACACTCTCTAAGCGAAAGAGTGTTTGATTGCAACTAAGAACACATACTGAGTAAACAAGTAAAATGAATGTTCACTATTGCGACCTCGATCATTAATTGCATTTTATCTCAACCTACTCGGTGTCTTCCATACGTACATTACGGCCTTGAGGAAAACAGGTCTTAACACTTATACGTAGAGTCCTGTTTCCACTTATAAGCTGCCAATGATTTTACCAACATATAAGCAAGTCGAAACTAGGGAAACCCATTATTCATCAAATAATCGTATATAATATTGTTCCTACAATTATCACGATGTCGTATGTAAATCATTTTTTAATTTTATATTGGAAATTTATTAAACAGCTTATTATAATTATGTCGTGAAAATGATGAATTATTTTGAAAGAACTAGTTTTTTTACTCAATTATACAAACTTTTGACCGAATCATTTTTTGGGGTAATATCCAGAACATTTCTTTACCTTTAATTAATATAATAATTCATAAGTGATTTAGAGCTTGTCAATACCGTGTGATAATACTTTTGGTGTTTTATCATATTACAATGTACTGTCGGTTTTTGGGTTAAATGTAAATTACGTGATGTAAACAAAAGCGTAACTACCTAGTACTAATTTTAATTAGTGTTATATAATAATAATAATTCTTAGTATTTTTTATTTAAAAAAATTTACTCGTTTGTAATTGTTAAAACCTGTAGGTATAGAATATTAATTTTAAAACTGCTTCATTAGCTATTTCTGTAGTATGTCATTTGAAGGTAATCGTGTATGAATATTGTTGAGAAACACTTTAGTGTCAGAGCCCTATTTAACAAAATACGACGGTGCTAATAAAAACTATAACCCGTTTGCTAATATTATGTTTTAATAATGTACCAACAAACTGTCCCATATCCCTTAATTTAATGGAATTTATTTATTTCATAATATTTTCCTTTTATAAAATCTGCTCTACTTCGTTGTTGTTCCGCATCCTCTATCTTCCTTCTTCATTCACTGAAGAGTGTTATGTTATGTTCATGTTTCAGCTCCATAGCAAACTATGGGTTAGGATTCTTGTATAGTTTCTCATTTCAGTAGCTTTTGACAATAGATTTAATTTTAAGAGTGTAATATTGGCGAAATATGCACAGGTACTAGCCATAATTCTTTTCTTTATTTCCCCTAAAGTCTAATATGTAATTGCTGTTATTAAGGGAAGATTCAAAGTACACAATATCTTTTATAGTTTAGAAGTTATTCTCACTGAGTGTAATACTTTGCGCCTTCGCTTCTAATGCAGATAGTTTTATGTACTCATATTGAGTTTTCTCTTCGTTAACTTTTGCCGTCTCATTTGACAGTCATAGTGATCAGTTTTACTATTCTACAGAGATTCCGTTTTTTTAGAGCTATAATCATTGATGATCTATTTAGGTTGTCAAGGACCTGTCGATAGTCAATAAATAGTAGATGCTGTACTCCAAGCATTTTTCTATTATCAGTCTTACTCTTAAGATTTGATTAGTAGTTCCTTTTCCACTGCAGAAGCCACAATGATATTCGTCGAATATTTCTTGAACATATGCTTCTACCGTTTTAGCAATATGACCGATACAATTTTATGTGGGACACAACAGCATAATTCCTCTGTAGTTTGAACGTTCCGCTGAGCCCGCTCTATTTTCTTTCTTGAAAATAGGATTATAATTCAGTTACTCCCGTCTTTTGGTATTTTTTTTTTTCATATGCAGGTTATAAATAAAATAGAACATATTTATATTCCTTGCTGCTTTTTTTCACTCGTTATGTCGTTTTCACTTTTTTAGCTTCAATGCGATATTAATATTAATAATAATATTTCTTTAATTTAAGTTTATATTAATTTCATTTAGTTTTACGCACTCTGGTTGTTTTTCTTCTTTTTGTTTTGTTTTCTCGTATTTTATATTATCTTTTAAAATCATATTATTACTAATAATGTAACCTTACATTTACATTTTACTTATTATTACTGTCTAATTGTTGAGCCAAATATTTTTTATTAATAAAGGCTTTAACTTTTCTAAAAATTGGTTTATGTCAATATTTTTATGAACAAAAAAGAAGTTATTTTAGCTTAATAACATTGAAAACTGATATCAAATTAGAAACCACCGAACACAAATACATATAGTATGACTAATTTTGAAGTCTTATATACTAAAATCCAGATTACAGTACTGGATTTTTACTAATTGTAATTTCGTATCGAAGCGTTTGGTTGTGATGAAACCAAATTCAGATTAAATAATTGCTTATACCCAACTTTGTTGTCTTCTTCTAAACTGATTTATATTATACATGGTTTTGATTGAGCTAATTTGTTTTTGTTTACTTTTGTAAATTAATAAAAAATTGGAGGCCTAGGCGGACTGTAGAAAGTTTCTTTTTACAAACAAAAAATCAAAATTTAGTTCAGCATATTTCGTTACTCGGGAGTACCTACTTGAAACATGTTTTTTATCGTCAATAGTCTAACCCAATCCTATACCTAACCTGTCGTTGGTTAGGTTAAGTAAGGTTTTAAGACCATCGTGACGCTTTTTACCATTTTAATCCCTCCCAATTAACCTTTTCCAGGTTAAAAATTATCCAAATCTGATTATCCTACGAGGTGTTATCACTTTTCTCTTAAATTTATCTTCTAGTTTCTACTACCAAAATAGCTATAACTCATGTACAAAAACCGCTGCCAAATCTTTGTACTTCAAAAGTATAATTAAAAAGTGAATTTTCAATCTATTCAAAACAATTTTTATTTATTTATTTAAGTGTGCGTTTTAAGGGGAACGGAAAGCGCTATTTATTAAGGGGCAAAGGATAGGTAATATTTGACAAACATTTAACTAATAGTTATTTTTCATGTCTAATTCTTATAACATGACACTTCAGAAAATGACTCCGTGTTTTAGTTTGTATTTGTAAAAAAGTTTATGCTTTCCGTCCCCCTTAACGTATGACGCATAGTGATAATTTCTCTTTGTTTGCTTCAAATAACTATACAAATTTATAAGAGAACATTAAATATGAAAACAATTGACAAAGAAATTATGTAGTTACGTTTTCTAACTATTGTTTATTTATTTCTTAATAACAAACCTATGAATGAAACATTGAGTAATTATAAAATAAGTACTTACTTTAACTAAGTGTTACCTGTGACATTTTACTTTCTCCTTCAATCTTCTAGTAAATCATGAAACATTGTTGAATATTTATAAAAGACAGAAGCATAAAAAAATATAAGCAAATCTAAGACAGCTTTTTTTTTAAAAGCTTTTGACAGAATATCAATTTATACAAGTATATAAGTATAGACTACAGTAACAGGTTTAATATTTAACTTGAGAACGCATTATGAAAAATGTATATTAATGTACAATTTCTCATGTTAATTTATTCCAAAGTAGTAAAACATGATCACTGAAATAACTTAAACAATTAAATGTTAATTTTACATTAACTGTAAAAAAAAATGTAAGTATTCAAAATGTTTTCTGTTTGTACAGGTTTAGTGAGCACACCTACTCGTAACCGAGACATTCAAATTGATACTGGTATATTGACCTGGGAAGCAGAACATATTAAGCTAACAGAGGCAGTTAATTTAAATGTTTCGGTTACAAAAGCTGTGACGTCAGATGAAATTGACTGGTCAGCACCAGTATTGAAACCTACAGATGAATTAGTACTTGATTGGAGTGATAAAGAGGAGGAGGAGGAAAAGGAGGAAGAAGAAACTTTTAAGGATAAACCCAACTTATTTGTTAAGCAAGAATCAATTGAGAGTGAAAATTCAAAATCTGAAACAAAAGCATGTAATTTGGATGTTATGGCTCAACAACTCAAATTTGTAGCATGCTTGAAAATATTGATGGAAGAATTATCCACGTTGGCAACTGGCTATGAGGTGGATGGTGGAGAATTAAGATATCATTTATATTTGTGGCTTGAAAGGGAAGTTGATGCGTTGAGACACTTGTGTAACTATAGCTCGAAAGATTCATTAATTATTCAGTGTAAGTATTTTCGCTTGATATAAAATATAAAATATTTAATCCTTTATCAATGTTTTATTTATATTGTAAACAACCGACTTATTTAGATGAAGGAGGTCTTGAAACTTCTGTTTTGGATAATCGTGAATTCTCTGCTACGCCTACACTAAAGAACTCTACTGAAAAACCTACTTTGCACGATATACTTCTAGCTGAAAAAATTGATTTTGAAGCTAAAGTTGCAAGAGCTGCGAGAAGGAAAAAATGGCTTAAAGGTTAAGTTTTAACACATTTATTCTGCTATTATTATACGGAATGCCACCGAACAACTATTGTCATATTCAACGTTCATGTCCATGTCCAGTCAAAATATAACTTATTTAAATCATTTTTTATGAAGGACTAAAATATAATCTTTAGTAAAATGCTAATTTTTTAAAAATTATTCATTAAAAATAGTCTATTTGAGTTCTACAAAAACTGAAAGTTACTCTGGTATTATATAGATATTAAAAACAATATAACAGAGTACAAAAGGTGTCAAATTTATTTCCAAAATTATAAATTTGAATTCCTACCCAAAACAGATTTTCATCCCTTAGGGTAGGGTTATGGTTATAGCTAGGCTTATGGTGTTTTTCAAAAAGAGCTTGTAGTAATTACTTGATTATGTCCCTACTCAAAGGTTATGTATAATTAATTAAGCATTTGTTTGTATATGTAGAAAATGAAACCCTTTTGAGAACTCTGCTAAGTTACTGTAGCTTACATGGTGCCGGTGGAGGGGGATTGGCATCAGTTCGAATGGAGTTAGTACTTTTATTGCAAGAATTACAACAAGAAAAAACGCAACAACAATTATTGTCTCCATTGCCTTTCCCCACTACACTACCACTGTTGTCTGCAAGTGTAGCTTGTAATAAGACTGTAATAGCAGATCCTGTCCGGTACCTCCAAGTAAGTGCATTGTAATTTTAACCCAGAAATCTCGTTATTATTTAAATACTAAATTTATAAACTTGCAAAAAAAAAATTGTATTTTAAAGGCTCAAGCACATGATATGCTTCAAACAGTTATCGACATACGAAATCCTCCCTTACTAACACGTATGGATTTGAGCGAATTGTTTGTACTGCGTGACCTGTCAGTGGCTTTGTCAGCCTGTTTTTATCAGTCACTATGTGATAGTGATACAATAGCTGAGAGTTATCAGGCTGGAGCTGAAAATCCTACTTATTGTAGCCATCTTATTGCAGCTAAAAATAGAAAGCGCCGTTATAGCGTAGATGAACCAATCAAGGTCACTACTCCACCATCCAAATGGCCTGGAGTTTCAAGCTTGCGTGCATTATTGGCCCACGAAAAAGATGAAGATGCTCCCAAACTTAATACATTATTATGCGAGGCTTTTGTTGCAACTTATATGGGTTTGTTAGTGTATGCATTTGCTACATGCGACTGTCACATATTGTACAGGCTAGTCGGCCAGAAGTTTACTGAGATGACATGGAGTGCACTTTTTGGTGGAGGAGTAAAAAAGTTGTTAAAAGTGGCACCAACTGCTCCAAAAAGTCGGGTATAAAATATATATTTTTAAACAACATATTTTAAAGATTTAAGAAAATGCCTATAACTACATGCTAACTCTAACTTTTATGAAATAAAAACAATATGGTTGTTATATTCACCATTTTATATTTAACTAATTTTAGTTTAAAAACTTCATGTTTAGCCTAATAGTTTGGAGCGTGAAAATAGTAATAGCAGTGACACGGGAGTGTGGACGGCAGTAACAAGCTTAACAAAACAAAAAGTGCGTTTGAATATGAAACTGTTGGGCCAATTTGTGGGCTCTCCAGGTACACCTAGCATAAAAGAAGATAAACCAACATATCGAGAACACTTTGTACCACCTGAAATGTCAATGATTTCTTATTTCTTGAATAAAGTAAATAACCAAACATTATTTTTATTTAAAAACTTATTTAATCATATGCAATTCCTCTAGCCTAATTTGGCATCTGAAGTACAAGATGTAGATTACGACTCTGCAGATAGTGCTGTATCTGATTTATCTGAAGATGAAGATGAGGATGGTGATGTTTTTGATAGTGGACAAGACGCTAAAAGTAAAGCTGGCAAAGTTGAAAATACAGAACATTCAAATCCCTACAGTTATGCTTGGATGGTAATGAGGTTAGCAATAATGCAATTAGTTCAAGAACAACTTCATGGGTTCCTTACAGTAGCGGCTATCGATCTACAAGGTATACAGTATAAATTGTTGATTAATTTAGCTAAAACTATAACAAAAAAATTAAATAAATTATATGAAAAACTTTATGTCATATCTAGAATTGCCAGTTAGTAGTCCACTCATTCATGGTATTCTAAGGGTGGTTAGTCAATGGCAAGAGATTCTAAAAGAAGAACTAGAATCTAAAGGTCCTCCTCCAATTGATTACATACCGGGGTGTTACGTTGAACAAGCGTCTACTGGTCCTCCAATTAATAAATACAGAACACTTTTAGACAAAACAAACACTCCATTCCAGTAAGAACCTTAAGTCTAAGATAAAAATTATATTGCTCAGTTTCTAATTCTACTTTGTGCATAGCCCACGACATTGGTCAGCAGCTCCAGCTCGCCGGTTATGGAACTATTTAGTACGCCAAGAACTTGTCCAAGATCTATTTATTCGAAGTATATTCAGTCGTCAACCTCGTGCTGCTGGAAGTTCTACATTGCCAACAATGAGTCAAGATGTAAAATCGTGTTCCGGAAGTGAAACACCCAGTCAACATTTGCCTGACCCTGTACGAATAATTCACAAAGAACAAGATTCAATATCGGCTTTCTGCCTAAATTTGGTAATTATCAATGTTTGCTGAACGTTTATTTTCATTTTTTATTCTATAATAAATCTATTATAAATATTTAAAACTCAGGCAAATAGCAGTCTTCTCGCATTAGCAACACCTCGTGAAATACAAGAAATGGATATTTCATTGCTTCTTGAATCGCCTTCATGGTTAGAAGACGAATGTGAATTTGATCTTGTTAATTTATCTCGGTGAGTGAAACAATTTCTGTTGTACTTAACACTGGTGCCCTCATATATATTCATATAATGATTCATTGACGAAACATTATTTTAATAAAAATGTAAATGTTTAGACCCATATATCGATTAGTATCATCTTCATTAATATTTTTCATCAAAGTTTTTATTATACATATTCTCTAAAAAAATGTCAACTGCAGGGATCAAGAGCATCAGCCATCAAGTTTTTTGGTAATTCAGACATCAGTTGATAGGCCTCTTCAAACGTCTCCCGGTACAACTGTCATTGTGAACCCCATGCCAACCAGTCCAAGTGTAACAGGCTTAGCGGGTCAAACAGGACGAGGCGCTTCTGTGGTAAAGTTATATTTGAATGATTTGGGATTTATATATAATATTCATTAAAATATAGACATATTTAATTGAGAAAATTGGGCATAAGTGGAAAAAATAATAATTGTATTTGTGAATACAAAAGCATTATGTGCTGTACGTCAATGTTTTGTTTTCTATGTGATAAGGTACAGCAAAAGGGCACACAAGGTTACAGCGACGGAGGGACGAGAGCAATAAAAAGCTCAAAAAATATTATGTCGGTAAGAGGCTATTAATTGTTGCGAGCGTGGGCTTACTCTACCATCTGCAGTGTTTTCTTCTGTGTACAATATTTATAACTATCTATTATTCTAAATAATTATAGCTAAATGTTTATTTTACAAACCTTCAGGTGCCAGAAAAAGCTTTGTAAACTTTTAGCTACACGGACCTTAAGAGCTTTTTCGAAATTTTGAGTAAACGCTTCCAATTTAATACTCTTGCCATCTATACATTATTTTATCAAATGTCTAAACCAATAAACCTCTATGATAACCTCACCATAATTGAATATATACATAATTATGTTCAGTAATCTACCTATTACATTTTAATTATCAAGCATTTATTTTGTTCTTACACACTGTACATACATATTATGAATTAATATTGTATATAGAGGTATGCCTTTTATGTGTTCTTCAAACACGTATAATTTTCTTTAAGGCTTATCTAAATTACATAATTAATTATTATACCACAAAAACTGCATAATGCTTAACCATTCAACAAATAATTTTTTTTTAATATCTGTGATTATTATTGTGTCATATTGCTATCAGATGAAGGGACTGAATTTCCCTGGTTGTCATGACCCACGTTTCTGTCAGTTTGTCTGTGACCGCAGTCGAATCCTGCTCAGACCGGTGCGTTAAGTTGATAGAATAAAATGTTTTATACAATTTTTTAAACCGAGTATTTGACTTGAGTGTTTCTCTTTTGTGTTAGTACCATTTGTGCATTATTAAGCTTCCACATAATATTGACAAACTATGATTTAAGTTTTTATTTAATTAATTTTAATATTTTTCAATTTAATTTGTTTTTGTTATGTAGAATAGATACGATTTTGTGTTTAGCTTGATGATGCTTGAGATATTTGAAATATTTTTCTACACCTAGAAATATAAAAACTAAAAACCTAGAAATGCTAAATCTGTATTTTGCATTAAACAGACCTTATGACCATTGTAAATACACATTGTAATATAAACATTAACCATTTTTTTTTTTTTAACTTTATAAGTTTGATGTTAAATGTATCTAAGTGGTTACTAGGCAAAAAGACTATTGACGTTCTTTGAGATTTTCAGAATAGCCAGAAAAGTATTTGGGTGTTTCTTATTAAAAACAAATTATTTTAGGAAATGTTTGGTGTGTTTAATAGTCACTGTTTTTTTTTGTACGTACACACTAGATGCAACTCATTTTTCCTTATCTAATCATATATAGCATCTGCCATGTCGTTGTTTTACCATAAAATTAGCTTAGTCCATTTTGCCTTGTAATCATCATTATGCATAAGTATGTAAAATATTTAACTAATTTTTGTTGTGTTGATAACTTTTTTATTTTAGGTGATGAAGCACCGCATTGACAACATTCGAAGAATATGTCCTCATCCATTATTGCCAGTTTGTTAGTGTACTTTTATTTGTGAAATATATTTTTTTTTTTAATCTTTACACGGCCTATTTTACATTATTCATTTTTTACTTAAATTAAGATTTGACTGGTTCACAAGACGGTTCAGTACACATTTGGGAGTGGGGTCATCCCCAGACAGTGGCTGAACCACGTTCAGCTGGTACGTTTGCTAAAGTTACAAGAGTACGGTTTTCTCAACATGGTAATAAATTTGGAGTAGCTGATGGTGATGGAAATCTGTCATTATTTAATGTGGGTCTGACGTCATCTAATTATAGGCCATTTTATGTAAGAATCTTATTATGATCAAGGTTGTCACATCTTATACTGTTTTAATATGTATATATTTTTTTTAAAGACATTCCAATGTCATAATAAAGTTACCAGCGACTTTGTATTCCTCGGTTCTTGCAGTTTGATTGCTACGGCAGGCCATTCATCTGAAAACAGAAATGTTGCTTTGTGGGATACACTATTGCCACACAAAAAATCTTTAGTTACAGGTAGTCGTCAACTTATTATGTAAATGTTCGTTTTTACATTATTTTATTGTTTTCATATCAATTGTCCTCAGCATTTATGTGTCACGAGCAAGGTTCAACATGTATAGGATTTGCTCCGCAGCATCAAGTGATAGTTACCGGCGGCCGTAAAGGTGACATATGCATATTTGATGTACGTGGTGGAAGTGGTTCAATAAAACATCGCTACCAAGGACACGATTCGAGTCTAAAATGTATGACTATTGATCCTCATGAACAATTTTACTGTACTGGAGCTGCAGATGGTGATATAAAAGTAAGCACAATGTCTTTACAAATATATATATGTGTGTGTGTGTAATATATATTATATTATATATATTTTTGTCTGAATAATAACAAAATTTTATCTATGTTATTTTAATGTTTAATAGATATGGAATTTGTCCACTCATCAGCTAATGTACACGTTCCCTGCAGAACATGCTCGTTCAAGTTTCTTTAAACACATTGGTCAAGGGGTCACTCAACTGCAAGTGGATTCATCAGCACGTCTATTCTCTTGTGGTGCTGATGGTTCAATGAAAGTTAGACAACTGCCAGATAGGTATCATTAATTAAGAGTTGTAATTCGATATGATGATAATATTAAGAATATTTCTATTTACAAAATGGCACTAGTCACAAAAAATATAATAACATTGTAGGAAGTCATTGCTTTTTAGATAAACTTCTATTAATACCCTATGTTTAAACTATATGAAGATAAATATTGAGTATCTATAGTGATTACTATAACATTTATTAGGAAATTTTAGTAATATGTATTTGAATACACCACCATAATAAATATTTATTTAATAATTCTAGATTTTGTTTTAATTATCTTCAAAACGTGCAATAATAAGGCATATAATATAAATATATACATATATATTTTACTTTAATTTTTACACAATATTCGGTAGCTATTATATGTATTCAACTAAGCAATATATTGAAGCACCTAATCATAAACTATCTTATAAATACTTCATTAGTTACTTCACCTTTATTAAGGTGTTATTATGTATGTTATCTCAATAAAAAATATTTATATTTACATTAGCTAGATGAATTACAGTATTATAAAATTCCTTATAATAAACATATAATATTATCCTTTTTAATCAATATTCTGCTCCCACCACTAGCCCTAAAAGTATAAAAAATAATATTCACATTTTTGTTATTTAATTACAAACTACTCTTTTGTGTATTTATTACAATTTTGAGTTATTTACATATTTCGTTAAAATAAATCTTAATGCAGGGCTTATTACATAAACTTGTATGTTAAACTTTAAAAAGATAAAATGTCTTTTACGTTTTATCATTAAAATGTTTAAACAAATCAAATATATTTAAGATTTATATTATTTTTAAGGAAAATAAGTCAAAATAAATTATTGGTATTTTTTCTTTGTTGTCATATATACAATGTAATTAAATGCTAGTGCAGGTTATTTATATTCTGTGCAGGTTTTCTGTGATTTTAGTTTTTTTAGAATTTTATTTTTATTTCTTTTATATTCTTTCTAGATTTTTTTCGTTTATTATGTGATTTTGAACATTTTATTTTAGATCAAGACTTGACAATAATCATAAAAACAAATAATTAACCAATTTTTTTAACACGCATTATAATAATCAGTTTTTATATAAAAAATATTGTGACAGTATCTTAGTAATTAGTATTATTTATTTAAACCCATTTTATTATTTAGTAAAAAATACATAATTTATTAACTTTTGACTATTATATATAACTGATATACTTCATAAGAATGTTATTGTATCATAAGTGATTATTATTACTTTTAAGCGAAACATTAATAAACCATGTTGTTGATTTATTTAAAAAAAATTGTTTTTCAGTTTTTCATTTTACTATCAAATAGGTTAAATATTATTGACAAAATATCAAAGGTTAGGTTACATTAGAAACCGAATCGAATTTAACTAATGTGATACTTTGTTTCAGTGCAATGGGATGTGGTCAGCAAATGGCCCGTTATTCCTAATTTCGCCAATAGTAAATACAAAATATACATAACTCATAAGAGTATAGACAGAGTTAGGACAGATCAGAAATTTCAGAATTTCGAAAATTTCAAACTCAATGCTTTAATATTAAATTATTAAGTTAAAAAATTAGTTTACATTTTCAAAATCAAATTTCAGAAAGTTTAGGTTATGGGACTATTATAAATCTAAATATTTGAATTTTGCTCAACTCTGCTTTTTTAAAATATACATTTTAGGACGCATACTGGCCTATCTGATTACAGATACAAAATAATAAATATTAACATTTTTTACTTAAGTACATATTTTAAATTTGAATTGTCAATTACCTATAAGAGATTGTTCACACATCACTATTAGGTCGATTCACACATATCAGTTCCGACAAGTTGGGTCAGTCTCAGTCATGAAAAATATTCTTTCACTAAATTTATATCGCGTTATCTACTCATCAGTTATCAATCCGAACCCGATCCGTCAGTATTCCTTCAGTCACTGGTTCGAGATATTTTGTATTCTCAGCAACGGTATTTTTTGTTTGACGAACGACAATTTGTGCGGAGACAAACATTTTTTTTAAATTGGAACAAATCTATTTTACCGGACACCTTTTTTTTCGATTTTTTTTTTGATTCGATAGTATTTTTTACGCTGATTACGCTGTGTACTTCATTGGCCCCTCGTGGTGTGTACGGCAGGTCACCATGTGTTTTGGCACTCAATCGCTACGCTCGCTCCGCTAAACTAAAAATATCCTATGTTTTGCAGGCTACAGTCCAAGAGGAGGTTACAGGTTTAAAGTTAAGTAGTTCTGGACAAAAAAAAAAGGGACCCAGAAAGGCGAGGCATGACGCTGGGGCGACAGCAGTAAATCGTATTATCAGTATAACTAACGCGCGATCTTTGTAATAAAGTACCCAGCGGCCGCGGGTAAACGTGCGGTGCCGGGTGCGCGCGTATGTCCATATCGGTGAATTTTAAAAGTCTGTAACTTCTAAACTAAGTACGAGCGGCGCAAAATGTTTTCATATTCGTAATCAACGTGAAAAATACTATCGAATCAAAAAAAAAAAAGGTGTCCAGTAAAGTAGATTTATGTCTTTTAAATTTATTTTATTTAATTTGGATAATTTTTATATATTTTAATAATGAATGACACCCATCGAATATGTTCGTCAGTATGAAGTGCTGTATGAATTGTCAAATCCCAAATATATGAACACTTATAAAAACGAAGTATGGAATATGTTCTTTCTCCTCGTCCAAAATGATTGCAATTATACCCAATTCTTCGTTAGTGAACTTAGCCTTATCCGCATATTAATTAATGCGTATTTTTATTTAATAAATATTGTTCAATGTGCAATGCGTTTAATAGATGTGTCTCTTCTTCACTGGCTCAAAGCAGCTGACCAGACTGTCGGAACTGAGCCGTCTCGTGACTGATATGTGTGAAACAACAATGACTGATCAGTCAAAATCGTCTATGACTCGACTGACTCTGATCGGACACGTTTCTTCAACGCGGTTTTAAAAAGTTTTGACCGTGTCAATAGTCCAGTTAATTTGTATAAGCATCAAGGTATTTTTTATTTATATAATTTTTTCTATGAGTAAAATACATTTTGCTTTAGGTGTTTTAGACCTAAAAGACTGACAAAATTACGTCTACTCTAAATTATTGGGTTTCAATTCTGTAAACAGATTCGAGTTCTTCAACTACATTACTAGTGGTTATGTAAGAAACTGAATTTCATTTAAAATTGTATTTCTTATAAAGTTTGAACATTTTTCAATATTAAAAAAACTTTTTTGCATACAAAATTCGTTTCCGACAAACCTAGTAAAGTAGCCAAAAAACTTGTGTCATTTTTGTATTACTCTGTCAGCTTATCATAAATATATTAAACTATACACTAATTATATTTAACTGGTGACTAGCTTGAAGTTTACTATGTATACAGTAATAACCTATTACAATCATAAGCGATACTTATACATCGTTATTCCATACAGGTATTTAAAATTTTTTTTAATATTCAATATTTGTAATTTAGGAATACGAGCATGTAATGTAGTAGTAACCACTTAAACCACTTAAGAAAACACTTCATACTGACATTGCATCTACAGAAGAAGTTAATAACAATTCTTAAATACATGTGACCTCTCCGATACCACAAAAATGGAATTATTTATTAATTTTATAAGATTAGTGCGAAAATGTTTTAAGTGCCTGAGATCACCAACAAAAACCGAAGCTTTTAATCTTGTATTACAAGTAAGGTACCTAACCAAATTATTCTACAATATGGTGGTAGGACAAAAATAAAAACACATCATTGTAAATGCAATATCTTCTCAGCTCCGCATCGAAGCTAAAAACTAGAAACCCACCTGAAATTTCAACAATTATGATAGTTTAACAAATTTCATTAAACCAAGGATTGACAAAATCATTTCAAATCAACAACAAAGCCATTAAGATTAATTATTAATATTTAAATAATTGTACATATATCTATGGTTAAACAAATTAATATTTTTTTTACAATTAAAATAACTGAAATATATTAATTTTTATGTTTCTTTATCGTATTACTATATAGTATTTATCTTTAATCACAGAAATCTATGCATGTTTATAAAAAATATATTTTAGGGGGCGCTAAATAATTAAATATTTAATTTTGGGGGTCGCCACAGTAAAAAAAGGTTGAGAAACACTGATCTTTGCAACTGAATAAGCCGGGATCAATATATTGGCGTAGTTGCTATAGAAAGTCATAGGAATTGCATAGACGAACACAACACACACATATAGAATACCAAGTTGTTCTATTTTTGATAATGATTAAATAGATCTATTCCTACTGCGAGATTAAAAAAAAATGTACAGATATCGAAGCAAACAATTCAGAAAATTCTAAAATTTAATAGGATCACTTTAATTAGCTATTTAAACACCGAAAGGTTTCTATGGTTACATAAACACTTACCTATAAGACCATACAAATATCATCTTACATTTCTGACACATTTTTCGAAATGTATGTTTTACACAATGCTGTAAAATTCTAAATATACTTTTTGGTAAATTCACAAGAGTCAAATTTTAAAGTAGTGTAAATTTGTCAAAAGTATTTCAATTGAATTTATCAAGTAATAATAATATAATAATATGTTTGTAGTACAAATATGTATGTTGCTAAAATATATTGAGGCGCCGTATATTAATTATTAAACACACGTTTACTATAAGCCAGTAATATTAAACTGAAATTTGAAGATAAATGTTACACCTACAATCAAGTTTTCTATGAAAATTATAGTAAAACTTTCATATTTCAGGCTACGATAGCGCCTGCGATAAAAAAACTAATCACGTAATTATGTCGAGTTGCGGACGAACCATCGCTATATAAGGATTATGTCAGTCATGTAGGCAAAATATAAATTCAGACATTGTTGAATTTTTTTTTAAACACTGTTTTTATTACTCGTTAATTATTTCCAATGGAAAATTTCGTCAAAATTATAATCGTTTGTACTTAAGTCTAAGCATGATGTTGATTGATTTGTTTTAAGTCAACTACCTATAAAATATATAATTAATAATTTACATTAAACGTTGGACAATTTTTTAGTTACAAATTATTAAATTAAATTAATAAAATCAAATATGTTTATCGCAATATTGTACATTAGTATTAACGCAATTTACCTTTTTTTAACTAGTTTTTTACTTCAAATATTGGATGTAAACTTTTACTGCGAAAAAATAAGAATAATTTGTTTATTTATAAATATGAAATATTACTAAAAAAATAGATTTTATTTTAAATACGTCTTATGTGTACCACCGGAAAAAATGTAATTATGGTTTTGTTTTCATGTTAGTTC